GGCTGGAGGATTTTTGCTTTGTCAGCACAGCAGTGACAGCTGCATTGTGTTACACCCAGCTGATCATCAGGCCTTTCAGATAAGAGGCTGTCAAGGATTTTAAAGCATCCAGTTCCAGTCTCTAGCTGTGCAGCTGAACTGGGTAAATGCTGACACCACATTTCTGCACTCACTGTAACCCAGCAAAGGAGACTCCCTGCCAGGCTCCTCAGGTCAGGGCTGGGGGCAGGACTGCAGGGAAGATCCACCAGAGGAACAATCACACTGAGCAGTGAGGAATGACACAGCTACAGCAACCAGGAGCTCCACATGTCCCTGGGCAGAGAGCAGGAACCGAAGTGCTTACAAATCAGAGAATCCCAGGATGGTTTAGGTTGGAAGGGACCTCAAAGCTCCTCCAATCCCACCCTTGCAATGGGCAGGGACACCTCCCAGCAGCCCAGGCTGCTCCAGCCCCATCCAACCTGCCCTTCAACACCCCCAGGGATGGGGCAGCCACAGCTTCCCTGGGCAACCTGGGCCAGGCTCTCCCCACCCTCACAGCCCAGAATTGCTCCCTCCCATCTCAGCTCCAGCTCCCTCTGCCAGCTGGAAACCCTTCCCCCTGCTCCCATCCCTCCCTGCCCTTGTCCCAAGCCCCTCCCCAGCTTTCCTGGAGCCCCTTCAGGCACTGGAAGCTGCTCTCAGGTCTCCCTGGAGCCTTCTCTTCTCCAGGCTCAACACCCCAACTCTCCCAGCCTGGCTCCAGAGCAGAGCTGCTCCAGCCCTCCCTGCATCTCCGGGGTCTCCTCTGGCCTTGTTCTAACAGCTCTGTGTCCTTCCTGTGTTGGGGGCTCCAGACCTGGACACAGCGTGGTGAGGTGACACACTGGAGGGCAGGGATGCCATCCAGAGGCACCTGGAGAGCTGGGCTCATGCAAACTGCATGAAGTTCATTGAGGCCAAGTGGAAGGTCCTGCACCTGGGTCAGGGCAATCCCCAGCACAGATCCAGGCTGGGCAGAGAATGGATCAAAAACAGCCCTGAGGAGAAGGACATGGGGGTGTTGATAGATGAGAAGCCCAACATGGACCTGCTGGAGCCCAGAAACCACCTGTGTCCTGGGCTGTCACCCAGGGCCAGGGAGGGGACTGTCCCCCCCTCCAGCAGTGCCCTGCACAGCCTTTCTAGCCTTCTCTGAAGGGACCATGCAGGAACTGCAGGAAGATTTAAATAAAAGCAGGTGAGAAAGAAACCAGCATGGAATGACTTGGGAGACCTGCTCCTCAGGCTTCTGCAGCTCCTGGGCAGCAGCTCTGCCTGGGGTCACCTGGAGCCCAGCTCAGGAGCCCTGAGCTCCTGCTCCCTGCCCTGACTCCTCTCTCAGGCCTATCATTAGCCAGGCTGGCCCCACTCCAGGGTGCTGGGAGGTGCTGGTGCTCACTCCAACAACTCCCCACTGACTCCTTGGCAAGGGCACCTCATCAGCCTTGGAGAGAGGCAGCCAGATTAACAATTAAAAAAATCACGCTGATTAGCCCTGGGTTAAAGCTTCTCTGGAAGATGAAAAGCTACCAAAAAAAATAAAAATACAGAGGCAGAATGATCACATGGAGCCATGAGGCAGCACATGAGGGTGGGAGTGGAGAGGGAAGGATCTGCAGAGACTGGAGCATGGAGGGAGACACCCTGGCCACCCATGGGAGGAGACACTGCCCTGCTCTGCTGCAGCTTTGCATCAGGCAGCTGGACATCTCCTTGTGGCTGGGACCAACTTCATGAGCATCCCAAGGGTTATGTTGTTCATTCCTGGCCCTCAGCGGATGGGCCGGGAACAGGCACCTGGACATCTGAGGCTGAATCATCAGGAAGCTGAGGGATCTCACAGCATGGTGCCTTCTGCAGATGGTCTGAACTCCAGTTCGTGGGCTAAGACAGGCTTCCCATGGCCCAGCTGCCTTCTCAGGGGGGTCTGTGCAAGCAGAGCAGAGCAGCAGAAATCCACAGCTCCTGCTGCTCTGTGGGTCCATGCTGAGATTTGCTCACACGCGTTTCCCCTGGAGACGTGTGCTCAGCATTTTGGGGAGAGAAGAAACAACCAACGGACCAGGCCCGTGTGCTTTTGTCTGAGCAAAGAAACCTTGATGGACCCAAAAAGCAGGTTATCATGTTTTTTAAAAATAGGCCTTATCTTCTGCATCTTTGCAGTGGGACACCCTTAACTTCAGCAGGGCTTTTGACACTGTCTCCCATAACATCTTCATAGGGAAACTGAGGCAGCCTGGGCTGGATGGGTGGGCAGGGAGGTGGGTGCAGCTGGTGTGGGACAGAGCTCAGAGGGTTCTGATCAATGCAGCAGGGTCAAGTTGGGGCCTGAAACCAAGGGTGTCCCCCGGGGGTCAGTACTTGGTCCAGTCTTGTTCAACATGTTCATCAACCACCTGGACGAGGGGACAGAGTGTGACCTCAGCAAGTTCCCTGATGACACCAAACTGGGAGGGGTGGTGACACTCCAGAGGGCTGTGCTGCCATCCAGGGTGACCTGGACAGGCTGGAGAGCTGGGCAGAGAGGAACCTCATGAGGTTCAACAAGAGCAAGTGCAGGGTCCTGCACCTGGGGAGGGAGAACCCCAGGCACCAACAGAGGTGAGGGGTGGACCTGCTGGGGAGCAACTCTGAGGAGAAGGATCTGGGAGTCCTGGTACACAGTAAATGATCCAAGAGCCAGGAATGTGCCCTGGTGGCCAAGGAGGCAAATGGGATCCTGGGCTGCATGAGGAAGAGTGTGGCCAGGAGGTGGAGAGAGCTCATGCTCCCTCTCTAGTCTGCCCTGGTGAGGACACATCTGGAGAACTGGGACCAGTTCTGGGCTCCCCAGTTCAAGAGAGACAGGAACTGCTGGAGAGAGCCCAGGGGAGGGCAATAAAGGTGACTGGGGGGTTGGAGCATCTCCCTGATGAGGAAAGGCTGGGAGAGCTGGGGCTGCTCAGCCTGGAGAGAAGAAGGCTGAGGGGAGACCTTCTTAAAGTCTATCAACATCTAAAGGGTGAGTGTCTTTCCTGTGAGGGTGACAGAGCCCTGGGACAGGCTGCCCAGGGAGGCTGAGGAGTCTCCTTCTCTGGAGATATTCAAGACCCTCCTGGATGCTGTCCTGGATGATGAGCTTCAGGGGGGAGTTGGACTGGATGATCTCCAGAAGAGGTCCCTTCCAGCCCTGATAATTCCATGACTCCATGCTTCTGTGCTTGGGCTGGGAGGGAAATCACTAAATCTGGCCAAGACTAAAACCCCAATTTAAACCAGTAAGAATCCTGGTGGCTCAGGGCTTTTCAAAAGCAAAAAGGCAGGAAATAAAAGGAAACTTTCTATTTGTAAAAGACCCTGGACCCAAAAGGACTTAAACCATGTCATAACTTGTGATGTTGCTCCATCTCCCATCAGTAGTGACTTAAGGAGCACGGAGGGGACACATGTTGGAAGCAGGTCCCTGCAGGAAAGCTGAGGGTGCCCAGTTCCCTGCTGCTGCCATGGCAACACGGAGCACGTCCCAGGAAACCACTGCTGCTGACTGGGAAGTCACTGGCTTCACAGAGTGGTTGGAAAAGCTTGGGCAGGGAGGAGCAGGGGCTGCTGTGAAAAGGGATATTTGAGACTCATGGGTGGGATTCTCAGCGTTTCTCCAACAGTGGCAGCAGAGCAGGGGGAGCCCTGGGGGGGCAGGGAGGGCTGCTCCCAGGAAGGAGCTGCTCAGGAACATCCCCTCTCCCTCTCCCTGATTAAAACTGGAAAAGGGGAGATTTAGATGAGACATCAGGAGAAACTTCTGGGCTGTGAGGGTGGGGAGCCCCTGGCCCAGGTTGCCCAGGGAAGCTGTGGCTGCCCCATCCCTGGGGGTGTTGAAGGGCAGGTTGGATGGGGCTTGGAGCAGCCTGGGATGGTGGGAGGTGTCCCTGCCCATGTAAAGGCTTGGATCTAGATGATCTTTAAGGTCCCTTCACACCCAAACCATCCTGTGATGATGACAATGACTATTTGAAAAAAATGTAAATTGGTGGATGAGTCAGAAACCAGAACTCCACCTGATCTCTGCATTAACCTGTTCTCCTTTTAACACCTTCTCCAGTGCACATTTCCATGGCAGCAGAGGGGGACTCACTGGACTTGAGGCCTGTGATACATCCACCCTGTGAGACAACTGCACAGAACAGCAGCCACGACCTTCAGAAACCTGAGCAGACCCTGCACAAGCTCCTGGCTGCAAAGTTGCATCCACAGAGCCAACCCCATTCCACGGGGAATTCTGCCTTTCTACTCAGTGTCAGTGAAGGACAGTGCCTGAAGGGGCTCCAGGAAAGCTGGGGAGGGGCTTGGGACAAGGGCAGGGAGGGATGGGAGCAGGGGGAAGGGTTTCCAGCTGGCAGAGGGAGCTGGAGCTGAGATGGGAGGGAGAAATTCTGGGCTGTGAGGGTGGGGAGAGCCTGGCCCAGGTTGCCCAGGGAAGCTGTGGCTGCCCCATCCCTGGGGGTGTTGAAGGGCAGGTTGGATGGGGCTTGGAGCAGCCTGGGATGGTGGGAGGTGTCCCTGCCCATGGCAGGGGTGGCACTGGGTGGGCTTTGAGGTCCCTTCCCAGCTAAACCATTCCATGATTCCATGATATGACAGCCAGCACACACTAAGCAGGCTTCAACACAATGGCTTCTGTGTAGGTTTGGGCAGCAGGGGAAAGAAAGAGATGTTCTATCTGGAAAGAATCCCACCACCAGGAAGAAAGAGATCATCAGGAAAGGGTGACAAGGTTTCCAAACAGAAGCCCTGCCTGAGACAGACCTGCAGCAGAACCACAGGAGGACTTGGGGTGGCTGCCTCTCCACATCCTGATCTGCAGAGGTGATGCCCAAGTGTGGGGCAACCCCAAGGGCTGGGAGGTTCCCCCCTCCTGACTCACTGCTGGGAGCACGTGGGGCAGCAGGAGCTCCTCAGGTCCCTGTCAGCAGGTAACCCCGGGGTGCATTAGCAGCCTCTGCATAAATGACTCTCTGAGGGAGGTACATCCATCCAGCAAACCTGAGAGCTCTGTCAAGATCTAATCTCAGGCAGCTGCTCTGGTTGTGTCTGCAGCAAACTGTCCCTGCAGACCCCAACTGGACTGGAAGCCCACCAGGCTGGGTGCCACAGAGCTGGTCTTTTTAACCCAGAAACTTGCAGCCTAGAGCCCAAACCACAAACCTCCCAGTCCTGGGCTGCAGGAACCAGCCTGCTTGGAGACAAGCCACAGGATCTGGACCCACTCTGAAACCACGGAGGCAACAGATGGGAAGAGGGAATAAGCAAGAAGATAATGGCCCCATTTTCCTCCTGGTAGTGGTGGCACTCACAGTTTTTCAAAATGTTGAAATAATTTTACTTGGAATTCCCCTGTAAGACAAGAACAGCTTGAGCTGGTTTATCTTCCCAGCCCTATCAAGAATGGAAGAGGGGATCTTTACCACACAGCTTCTCCTCTTTTTGGGTGTCTGACCCACCACAAGACCCCTGTCCCCTGCCCAAACCCTTTTGAGGCAAAAATCCAGACTGGACAAGCCAAAGTGCCCGTGGGCTTGTGTCACCTCTCAGCCCAGCCCTCTCTTGGTCAGCTGTGCCACAGGAGAAACATCTTTCCCATCAATACTTACATAGAGAGGAGGGAAAAGGAGGGAGAAAAGAAGAAAGCAAGAAGAGGTGGAATAGAGGAAAAAAGGGAGGAGAAAGAAGAAAAAATACTTGTCCAGGGATTATCAAACCCTATCACTGCAAACCCCAATCACAAAGATGGGCAATAAAAGCAGTAAGAATGCACCAAGGCAGCTACACATTGAAACCCAAGTGTTAAATTGCAAATACAAACTCTTATTGTATTTTTCATATCCTTTCCAGAGTATATCCAGTCTGGTTTATGCAGAGAAGACCACAGTACCTGTGAAATTTAAGCCTATGGCTCATAGTTTTATTTATTTTCAGGCTTCATGGAAAGAAACCTAGGAAGAATTTGAGAAAAGAGAGCAGCAAGAGGCTGACTTGGTCTCTACCACTTCCCATTCCCTTCAGAAGCTTTGGCATCACTTCACACATGGGAAGTCTTAATCCTCTGACAGTGTTAACCCCCTCACACCAAGGCAAAGTGAGGGGCATTCACACAGTTGCACAACAAATAGCAAGGAATTTGAGGTAACTGCAGGTTCAGCATAATCCAGAGATATCTGGGTCCCTTATGTTGAATTTTCTTGGAACACCAGGCAGGTCTTGCCTTCAGCCCCGTTCCAAGCCTGAGGAACCCAGCTCCCTTCCAATCCTCTTTCACAGGCAAACAGGGCAATCTTCCAGGGAAAAGCAGTCCAGCCCTCCCAGTTCATGCTCCCTGGCCTCCCAGTGATCCCCACAGGCACATCAGACCTCCTGGGAAGCCTCCAGCACCACAGATCCCAGGCTGACAGAGCTGCCTCAGCCCCCCCTGCTCCACTGCACCCCATGATCTCCTACCCTGACCCCCACCTCACCCCTCCTGAGCACCTGCTGACCCCACACCCCAGTTCTGCACTTCCCAGCCAGACTCCCCCCTACCCCTGCTCCCTGACC